ACGTCCCTGTACGTACCCATTAAAATTTAAAATTTAACTTCTTTTTATTCACGTCTATTTTAGATTTAGATGAATTTATATGCATAATTTTTTATTTAATTTCATCTAATCATCTTTGGTAGATATTTTATTTGTTTTATATTTCAAAAATTATCCTAATCTCTTTTAAATGTTACCTAACTCTCATAAAAAAAATTACCTAACTTATTCAACTTTATCTGATCGAACCCTCCTACAACATCTGACTCTTTTTTTCTTTTTTCGTTTTCTTTAATAATCGAGCATCTTCTTTCTCATTTATATAATAGAGTTTCTTAGCATCTGCTTTCTCATATAATGGAGTTTCTTAGAAGATTAAAGAATTGCACGTGTCATGTCTAGGTTTTTGCAGCATTAGATATAGACTACTTTTCCCTCTTTTCGACACAGCGTGCGTTCGATTTTTGAACCAAAATCAAAATGTTATGGTAATATTCTGTCTCTTTCTTTGCATATTCCGGTACTCCATTGCCATGTGCCAGTCAATGTAGACTACGTTCGGGTCAATGGACAAAAATGCATGTGTTCGATTTCGTGAGGAAAGAGGATTTAGCTGATAAGGTTCGATCTTTTTAATTATTGTTTTTCATTAAGTTCGAGTTTTAATGCAAGTAGTTCCTTCCATTGATAAATGATCTATAAACCCTAAGTATAAGTACACGTTTTTAAATTTAGTGGTTAAAGTATCTTTAAATCAATGTACGTTTAGATCTAAATTAGTTCTTTTTCTTAGCCAATCAAATATAGGCCATAATTACACATTATTATTACATTAAAATTGGTGGCATGCCCTATTTTTTTATTATATTTCCCGCTACCTAAACTTTTCTTCATTGAGAAAAAAAAAAAAGAAGAGGGGATGGGGGCAAAACCTTCTATGCTGGAGCTAGTCAGGCAATAGACTGCTAGAGGCAACAAAATTAGTTGGGCTTTGAGGACAACTTATGGGGTCATTTTGAGCTTACGAGCCCAACAGGCAGAAACTGGATATGAGCCCAATAACCTTAACTAGAGGGGCCGTTGGGCCGTTGTAGCAAAATCTCCCTCAAAACACAGGACTCTTTCGTCATTTCAGGGATCTCCTTCCAAAACCCTAGTTTGACACCTCTTAATATTCCCCATTTCGCTTCATTTGCCATCGCCTCCTCCTCCCTCCTCCGCCGCCGCAACCTGAAAACCCTAGCCCTAGTCTGCTAAATAGCCGCTTGCAGCATCAACCATGCCGCCGAAGTTCGATCCCAGCCAGGTGGTGGACGTCTACGTCCGTGTCACCGGCGGTGAGGTTGGTGCCGCCAGTTCTCTCGCTCCCAAGATTGGTCCCCTGGGTCTCTCCCCCAAGAAGATCGGAGAAGACATCGCCAAGGAAACCGCCAAGGACTGGAAGGGCCTCCGCGTCACTGTTAAGCTCACTGTCCAAAACAGACAGGCCAAGGTCACGGTGGTTCCTTCTGCCGCTGCGCTAGTCATCAAAGCACTGAAAGAGCCGGAGAGGGATCGGAAGAAGACCAAGAACATCAAGCACAATGGAAACATTAGTCTCGATGATGTAATCGAGATTGCCAAGGTCATGCGTCCCAGATCCATGGCTAAAGATTTGCGGGGTACCGTGAAGGAGATTCTGGGTACTTGTGTTTCCGTTGGATGTACTGTCGATGGCAAGGACCCAAAAGATCTGCAGCAGGAAATTGCAGATGGTGATGTTGAGATACCCGAGTGAAAATGAGAAATTTCTTCTCTTTAGTCATTAAGTTTAGTAATTTTGTGTTTTTAATTCAGTTTTGGATATTTGTGATAGTATCATTATGGTTTTAAGGTAGTCACCAAGGTATGGATTTTGATCCAAAAGGATGAAATGTGGAGTTGTTTTATTTCTGAAGGTGGGGATGTAACCTTTACTCTTTTCTTTCTTTCTTTCTTTCTTTCTTTTTGGATAATGTTTAGGTCATCCATCTGATCTTAATCACTAAGATTTGCATTTTCTAATAATGCCTTTGGTTTGGTTTCTGTGTTGAATTGTTGGATGGTAATAGAATCGTGGAATTTGCAATTTGCTAGTTTGATGATGCAGAGTCGGAGTAAAAAATTATGTATGAATTGTTTGGTTTTACCTGCTCTTGATATGAGAAACTTTTAAGAAGCAAGAATTTTCTGATTGAAGAATTCTTGGTGCAATAGATTAGTTTCTATGATCCATGATATGTCACATATGGACTTGTGTTATTGTAGGTGATGCATTCATATTTAGGTGTAGCATTAGAGCTATACCCGTGTGTCAGTGTAGGTGATGCATTCGTGTTTAGGTGAAGCGTTCTGGCTATACCTGTGTGTCATCGTAGGTGATGTATTCGTGTTTAGGTGAAGCATTTGTAAATGGGTCTTCTATTGATACTTTGTGAATCGTTTCTTGTTTTGAATGCCATTTACAAATTACAATCAATCCTTCCTTTACTGCCTACTTGCCTAGCCTATTAGTGGTCTGCTTCCACCAAATCCTAGCTTGGTGGTATAAAGTCCTGAGCTGCTAATACCTTGTATTAAATTGGATGCTAAGTATTGGTTCCATGTAAATGTTCCCACAAATCACAACTGGGATAAGTTGAGTGGTTGTAGTTTATTCTTCTGATAATTTAAAACTTAATCTTCGTTGATATTTCTAACATTTGATGTGATTGTTGAGATGTCTCATGTTCTTTTGATGATTTAAACTACTTACATTGTTCATATGCATGGCTGGGACTCGAATCTTAGATGTTGCAGCTGGTGTTGATTGCATTGGATATGTTTCAATTGAATCCAACGAAGAAAATATCTAACATGCTAGTTTAATATCTGTTGTCCATTTGGAACACCCTTAGCTTTCATTTTAGTTAAATGCCCAAGTGGGCATTTTCGTTTTCCACACATTTATTTTATGTTCTTGAAATTGTACAGTTGTGTGTTCCCGAAATTCCTGTTCCTTTACTTCTGCCCAACAGTTTGGGGAATGTTAAACTCGGCTACCTTATTTGCTCAAATCTACGTTTAACATTGTACACGTGGACTACCCTCTCCTTCCAATTCCTTGTCACTGATAAAGAGTCTTTTTTCATTATCTCATCCATGAGATGAGATATTTTTAGGGCAACCAACGCTATAAAGAGGCCTTTGCATTCTTCTCTTTTCTCAAATCAAATCTTTGCAATTCCTTCTAACCCATAGACCTTCAGGAACGTCTTTAGAGAATCATTACCATTCTCTCTTCTTCCAGAAGAAATCAGAGTGCTTAGAATGTCAAAGGAAAGCTGGAAATTGCAGTTGTGGATGGAGGTAGCTCCGGCTCCTATTATTAACCCTCGAAAACCTTCAAATTCTCCGGCCTTGGAGACCATCGCCGAAGATATTGCTGAAGAAGGATCCAATGTTTGGCCAAAAAGGGAAAAAAAGAAAGGAGCATCTGATGAGAATTCAGAATTCTAGGAATCTTATCCTGATTGTAAGAAAGTACAAGTATACCGTATTGTTTTAGGACTTGTGAATAAATCTAAAGTGTGGTAAAGGACGTCACTGTGTATATATATATATATATATTTCTATTTTCTTTTTCTTTTTTGGTATTTTTTTTAAATGAATTAAGAATAATTTTTTTATTATTTTTAATTTATTTTTATATATCATTTAAATAATTAATTTTTTTCATTCATTAAAACCTCAAGAATTGTTTAAAACAGACTGGGGGTCTACTCCATCGTGGAAGACGGCAGCGTCTATTTTTTTGTATTTTTCTTCTAGGGCCGTTTGTCGATCTAAGAGGTCCAGCATTTCTCTTACCTGGTGGTACCGACCAATTAAAGAATTACAACATAATCGATTATGAAGTTCTTTCTTAAGATATCATTTGGGATTAATAAGATGATAATATTAAAT